CTCTTCCAGTTTGAAGCCATTCCCCCTCGCCCTACCAATACGTGCCCTCATAAAAAGCCCCTCTCCAGCTTTCTTGTAGGTCCCTTCAGATACTGGAAAGCTGCTCTAAGGTCTCCCCTTTTTGGCCTTCTCTTCCCCAGGCTGAACCTCCCAACTCTCCCAGCCTGTCCTCCCAGCAGAGGGGCTCCAGCCCTCCCAGCATCTCCGGGGCTTCCTCTGGCCCTGCTCCACCAGCTCCGTGTCCTTCTTGTGCTAAGGACTCCAGAGCTGGAGGCAGTGCTCCAGGTGGGGTCTCCCCAGAGCAGAGGGGCACAATCCCCCCTCGCCCTGCTGGCCACACTTCTTCTGATGCAGCCCGGGATGCGGGTGGCTTTCTGGGCTGCGATCGCACATCACCGGCTCATGTTGAGCTTCTCATCCACCAACACCCCCAGGTCCTTCTCCTCAGCGCTGCTCTCCAGCCATTCCCCGCCCAGCCTGGAGTTGTGCATGGGATTGCCGCCATCCCTCCCCTCCAGCACAGCTTGGTGTCCTTGGCAAACTCGCTGAGTGTGCGCTCCATCCCCCTGCACACACCACCAACAAATCACAGAATGGTTTGGGTTGGAAGGGACCTTGAAGATCATCTCGTTCCACCCCCCTGCCCGTCCAGGTCCCTCTGGACGCCATCCCTCCCCTCCAGCACAGCTTGGTGTCCTTGGCAAACTCGCTGAGTGTGCGCTCCATCCCCCTGCACACACCACCAACAAATCACAGAATGGTTTGGGTTGGAAGGGACCTTGAAGATCATCTCGTTCCACCCCCCTGCCCTGGGCAGGGCCACCTCCCACCAGCCCACGTTGCCCAAGGCCCCGTCCAACCTGGCCTTGACCACCTCCAGGGATGGGGCCTCAACAACCTCTCTGGGCAACCTGTTCCGGTGCCTCACCACCCTCAAAGTGAAAAACTTCTTCCTAATGTTTAATCTAAACCTGCCCTCTTCCAGTTTGAAGCCATTCCCCCTCGTCCTATCACTCCATGCCCCAGTAAAAAGTCCTTCCCCAGCTCTCCTGGAGCCCCTTTAGGCACTGGACATACCATCTCGTAGGGACAACTGGACTCTTGCTGCTTCTACCTCTCCGTGGCGGCGTTGGCCAGACGGAGCCCAGAAGAGCGAAACCACCCAGCCTTGGCGCGAGTGGGACGCTAAAACCACAACGCGGAGCTTTCCGAAACCTCTTTTCTTTTTTCTCCCCATCTCTCTTATCGCTTCCTCCGCGCGGATTACCTCCGTGGTGTCCTCGTACGCGCGACCTGAACTCATTCCTCTTCCCGGCAGGAGCAGTTTGAGTGACTCATGTCTCATTTCTCTTTTTATTTCTCCCCCAGCGGAGCTTCAGCTCTGTTTTGCACCGCGCTAAACTTAGCGCTGCTATTTATAGCGCAATTAATAAAGGTGGGGACTCTATTATTTTTTTTTTTTATCTTCGGTTCTTCACTGGGTTCCTCCGCTGTTGAGTGAAGATCTGCCCACGCTACTGGGTTTGGACGGGACTCCTGGCTTTAAACTCGGCGCGGCGCATCTGTCTGGCCGCGAAACGCCGACTCCTTCTCCTCTCTCGTCCCCAAAAACCGAACTTTTTCTTCCCCACGGCCTAACGTAGGCGTTCTCCAGGTTCGGCGTCCAAAGAGGTCTCGCTTGGACTCCTTGCAGAGTTGGGGCGCCCCGATCATCTTCAGCATCGAAATGGCTGGACGCGGAGCTCCTGGGTTCCGCCGGAACCTCCAGCGCTTGGAGAACCTTCCCAAAACTCACCTGCGGTGTACTTTGACCTCTCGAAGGCGGGTTTTTGAGACGAGAGGCTGTTTCACGCCGTCGCACAATGGTCGAGGTTGGAAGGGACCTCTGGACATCATCCTGCCGGAGCGGGGGAACCTCCAGCGGTGGCGCGGGACGGCGTCCAGGCGGGTTTGGGATGTCTCCAGAGTGGGAGACTCCCCCACCTCTCTGGGCAGCCCG